AAATAAACTAAGTTTTTATGGGTCTTATGAATTTAAGAAACCAAAACTCTGATCCTAAAATATTTACAAATATGTTTTTGTGGACTAAATTCATGCTTTTGACCTTAGGGAAACTTTATCCTATTTCTTATTAAAATAAGGTATAAAAAAGACTTTATAAACTGAAGAGTTTTAAAAACCATTTTAAAATGTAAAATATAAAATTGCCGGTAAGAATATTTTTATGAAAAATTGAAAACTGAAGTACAATTAAGCTGGTAACTTTATTCCTGCCCAGTCACATTTGAGGGGTATAAACACTCCCAACTATAACAGCTGTTCTTACTTGGAGGATGAAGGAATGAACGAAAAACTATGTAAGTTTTGACAGGGAGACATGTGGAATGAGAAAAACTATGGGCCCAAAACATTGGAAAATGCCCATGGCTGATAACCTTCATCCAACCAGTTGAGAATTGCTTTAAAATGCCTTCAATAGGGGGCGCCTGGATGCCTCAGTGGGTTAAGCATAGTGGGGCTCCCTGCTCAGCAGAGAGTCTGCTTCTCCCTCTCTCTTTGCCCCTCCCCCTGGTTCGTGCTCTCGCTCTCTGAAACAAACAAAATCTTTAAAAAAATAAAATAAAATGCCTTCAGTAAGATGAAAATACATACTCCAGTAAAGAAATAAGGACTAAAAAGGAACCTCTATACACTTCTTTGAAATAAATAGTTGTCTTAATTGACTTGCATGCTTACCAGGTCTGCTTTTTGTTTTCAAATGGTTTGTTCTATAATCAGATTGCGTTGCAAGTTCTGTTAGGCTCTTGCTTTACTTTACAAAAAGTGAAACTGGAAATTACAGAAAAAATAGTCCACTGAGTGTAGCTTATATAAAAAAGATGGCTTAATTACAGTCTGTGAACCCATACTCAGTTCAGCTACACTAGCAAATTAATATGCACTTATGTTTGAACATAAAATGGTGTGTAATATATGTATATATAATTTTTAAAAATTTCCTGCTTTAACTTTTTTTTAATTGACTTTTTGACTAAATGACCACTTACTCGTCCCAGTCATGTTGGATCTCATTAAATTTATCAGCTTAATTGACTTAAAAAATGCCATAAAAATGGAAATTCTAGCATTTTATGCCATATCAACAAATGCAACAAAATCAAAAGGATTAAGAAAGAAAAGGGAAATGACATATTTTCTAAAACTCAGTATTTGTTTTTTTTTTTTAAGATTTTTATATATTTATTTTGACAGAGACACAGTGAGAGAGGGAACACAAGCAGGGGGAGGGGAGAGGGAGAAGCAGTCTCCCTGCTGAGCAAGGAGCCTGATGTGGGGCTCGATCCCAGGACCCTGGGACCATGACCCGAGCCGAAGGCAGACACTTAACGACTGAGCCACCCAGGCGCCCCTCAGTATTTGTTTCTTAATATTTGACATGGAGACAAACTCGATTATCGGTTAAGAAACAGGGCTCTGTGGCCAAACTGTCAAAGTCTGAATTCCAGTTCTGTTACTGCTTGTGTCCATAGGCAAGTTACTCCCTCCCTCTCCCTAAACCTCAGTTTCCATTTGTAAAATGAGGAAAGCAGTGCTGGGTGCCTAAGACACCCTCTCACTTTCCATTCAGATGAAGAGGAAAGTTAAGAGGGCACCTTTACTAAAGAGTTTAAAAATCCAGCTGGAACCCCTCAATTATTCCAACTGGGAGTTAGAAAAAAGAATAAAGTGTCACCTATTGTCCAGCCTTGTGAACTGCAACATATTTGCTTGTATAACTGCCTAATGTATTTCTTTTTTTTTT